CACTGAAAACAAGGAAGTGACAAGTACAAAAAGGGAAATAAAAGAAGATGAAAGTATCCAAAGTCGACTGACTGGTCAACAAAATTCCGAAGAGAGGCTAGCTTGTACCCAGAAACACAGTATCCTCAGCAGCTGGCTCTGGACTGAGCCTTCTCTTGACAAAGCCTTCTCTCGACTGCCCTGAGGCTTTCTTTAAGCTATCCCCAAACACCTAACATTGATGTAACATAAATTACGAGTGACTATTTCCTGCTCAAAAAGATCTGACAAGTTCTTTAAGTCTTTCTTCTGCTTCATTTAACTATGGCTTCTTTGATGAGGAGCTGAGCACAGAACCCAGGGCTCCAGTGAGCCTAGAACATATCCGATGCGGTACGAATGCTTGGAAGGGCACTTCAAATATGAACGCCTTTGTCCCAGAAGCATCCTGCGAAGTCAGCAGTTTGGGATGGAGACAGCCCCATTTCTCCAAATAAACTATGCTACAAATCAAGGTTAAATCCCCAGCTAATCCGATGGTTTACTGAACTCATGAGCATCCTTGAGTTTTACTACTGATAATACCAACTGAAATCCTAAAGAACACACGTGTGCAAGAAGAGAGAGGGAAAAAACCCCATCTCCACCCCACCCCACCCCGACCCTGGCAGGGGGTGGGTGGTTATTATCAGCCAAGAAAAAAATATTTGGAAGTGGCATTGAGCCTTTGTCATTCTCCCAGACTTTCTTTCTACTGCCTCCTTTGTCTCTTCCCCATTTCCCTCACTTTGCTCCAACCGTGGCAGGCCATCTAAAAGGACTCTGCCCCTCAAAGTGTCCCATGCACCAAATAAATGACTTCTTTTCCCTCTCCATCAAAATCTCCATTTCATCAGGGATAGTCACCTCCATCAAGTGGAGGGGAAGCTAATCTGATTAATTCACACTAACATAGAAAAGAGTTCTATCTGCCAATAGGTTTTTGCTCTACTAGATGTGCATAATTAAGAGGGATTTCAGGCACTTTAACAGGACAAAGTTGAAACATTCAGCCTCATCAGAGCAGATTAAATTTATGAATTACACACCGGGAAAGCAATGGGGCTCAGACAGTAACCACTAGAACATACTAGCCATCTAGAAGTTGATCGTCTGTGAGATGCGAAAAGGGCAGAACAGTACAGGAACATGTCCTCGTGCGGCCACGGAGGGGGCAGTCCACACGTTTCATCTCAGGACCTGCCTGCCTTTCCCCTTAGGAACGTCTCCTCTCCCCTTCAGGGAGGAAGGAAATCTAATAGGCATGGTTTGGAGGGTAAATTGAACTTGAGTCCAACTTAGGAAAGGCTCCACACTCTACAAGGCTCTTTCACGGCTGGTTCCATCTGGAGAAAATACGCACCCAGTACACAGGAGTCAGGGGGATGTGACGGTGGAGTCCTTATCGCGACACCTTAGAAAGTAGACCCACCCGAGGACTAGCAACCTGAAGGTCAGTCTGTAATGGGAATTCTCTCCATCAGATACCTGAAAACTACTATCCATGAACCTAACATGATGAAGAGGACTGTCATTTTAATTCAGATGACAATTTCGTTCAACGGGTGACACCCAGTGACTAGATTTTCTAGTGTACTACTTAATTGTATTTAGAAGCAATAACCTTAACAGTCCCGATCAATTCAAATATTACAAATGCTACTGTCAGAAAGGTTTTAAGCAGTGCTTGCTGAGAGTCTACAATGCCCCTGAGAAAGAGAACAACTTTTAAAAAAAATTTCTTGTATGATGTGGGAGACTGCAGATGACAGACAAATATATATTTAATGTCTACATAAAACCAATGAAAACATGTTAAGATCTACTCGGATCTAGTAATATCTTCAGCTAGGATTACTGCTGTATAATCTACCAGGCTTCTTTCTCCCTCCTAGAATTCAACAAGTGAAACCAAATTCAGTGATATTGATACATTACTCTCCCATACACCAACTCTTTCTTTCATCTGGCTTTTTGATTCTATATATTTAATGAAATGTATCATGAGATAGCAACTCTCTTACAAAAAAAAAGGATGGAAAAAATGGATACAATTTCATAGCACCGATAAAGCAATAAATTGTATTTAAAGGTGATCTCTTCTGAAAAAGAATTTAAAAGATGAAATCTTGTACTACTACAGAACTAGGGTGGGAGGGAGAGGAGTGGTGTTTAATAGTAGACTTAGAAGATTTCTGTTTTGGTGAGGAAAGCAAGATATAACCAGAAGGACTTGAAGGAATTCAGAATAAGCCTGTGTGCCAGAGTAAACCACAGCAGTGGCTCGGAAAGCATGTAGTGAAATGCCCTGTTCCACTACTTCTGCATGAGTGGTAGCCCAGCTACATCCGAGCAGCACTACCACTCAGCTCCCACACAGCACAGCCATTTCTTATTTTGACCTGAAACTTAGCAGACTAGAAGTCTGAGACCGACTGGTCTTTCTTAATTTTCCATCCACAAAACCAAAAATTTCATTCTGTTCTTTGTAAGCGTCTACACATGCACGGAGAACCCAGGAGGTTACGTGTCTAGGCTGCCTTCTCGTCGCTTGCATAACTGAAAAATAGGTTTTTATTTAAAAATAGAACTTGGCAAACGAATAGTCCATAACATGGACCAAGTGTGTTTGGAATGCTTTAATAAAAATAAATGGCCAAGCTCTTCCACGTTGAAAAGCAGCAACTATTCCGGCATCCTAGTCCCCCTTCGACTTTATATTTTGTCACCTTTGGAAAGATCGTGTATTTTCAGAAGACCCAACACACTGGGTAAACTGCATAGGCACATGACCTTGTTTTTACTGGGAGCCATAAAGAAATTTATGAGAAAAAATGTTTAACCAACAGACCTTCAATTACTCCACCTCATCAAATTTTAATTTTCATTGTTTTTATCTTCCTTGTTTTTGTCTACACACACTTCTCATAATTATATTCAGTGTTTCCACAATTTAAAATTTTTTTCCCACTTAACATTAATTACATTATCAATATTTTCCATGTTGTTTCATAGTTAGTATCAGTATCACAAATAAAATTTTTGACTTTTATGCTATCTTACTCTGGTTTGGGATCAGGGTAACATTTGTAGTTTTAAAAATTAAGATACTCCCCATGTTTTGATATGTTCCAGAAAAATGTATCAAGCATAGGAATTATTTCTTCAAAGTTTGAAAGAAAAATCCAATGAATCTATCAAGTTATGTATTTTGGGAACTGAGTTTGCTAAAAACTTAAATTTTTCCTGCATTAGTGGTCATTTAAAACTTATTATGAATTTATCACTTACTTTGTGTGGATAATTGCAAGTCACTTCACCCGCACATATGCATACAGCATACTGCCAAAACAACTGTGCACAGTACTTACTCATTATTTAAAAACTATTTTTGTTTAATAACCATGTATTGATTGCTATATCTTCTTTCTCATTTCCAACTTTAATTTGTGTCAGTTTTTGCTTGTTTCTTTTACTACTGATTTCAAAGAGCCAACTCTTGATTTATTTATTTTTCAGCCTTCCATTTTACCTTTTTTTGTTTTCTATTTATTCTTTTTCCAATTATCTGTACTTAAATGACTTATTTTCCTTTTTCTGAAAGTAAACATTCATAAAGCTCTGAATTGCTTCCACGTTCTGTTCTGGCCACATCAGTTAGGTATTAGTAAATAGTTTTAACTTTTTCATTACTGGTTAAGTAGTCTTTGACTGCATCTTTTACTTCTTCCTAAAGCCAATCATAACTTATCATAAGACTATGTATTTCTGAGTGTTTGGAGTTGTTTTCATTGTTGGAGTTGGAGATAAAAGCAGAAAATGGGTTATGTCATTAAAAATGCATAGAGATTTCCCCTGAATCCTCACAGACAGTGTTTCTCGTATACATTTGTAGACACTTGCAAATCAGATTTCTGGCTAAATTATCCTAAGGATATATTAAACAGACCAACTTTAAATTTCTTTATAAAGCTCTGTTGTTCACATATCAAGCTCCTTGATATGACAGGGACTCAACGTAGTAGTACTTGAGTAGAACTTAGCACAGAACCTAGTATATCACAATTCAGTGGACGACTGGTGGCAGTTACGTGTAACAATAAGAGAACTAGTCTAGCAGTTGTCACCCTCCTCCAAACTCTTGTGCAGGCCCAGCTACACCACTGATCTGGAGAAGAGTAACTAGCCATGTGTTCTGGGCCTGGACTTTCTTATCTGTGACAGAATGTGGCCACGTTGCATGCTTCCTGAAGTTACTTCCAGGGGCAACATTTCTGAATCTCACTGGGTGGCATTTTCAGGACCTGGACCCTACCTACACCAGATGGAGGACACACACAATCCTTCGTTCTGAAGCAGCTTGCTCAAACGCTCTTGAAGACAAGATAGAAAATTTTACCAAACTTGCCACTCCCATCCATCTACAAGTTGTGGACAGGTAGAAATCGATTCATTGTTTCTGGACTAACAGTAAAAATTTCAAAACTATTTATCAGCTCTGTTTGTGCTTTTCAGGAATAAAAGTAAAATTTTCAAAGCAATTTAAGCCAGACCTCTACTTTCCCCTCACAAACGCCTTGGCATCCATGCTAGTTTGTGTTCATTTCTCATCACTATTAGCAAGCAAAGAATTCAAGAGAAAAGATGGAGGACAAAGTATTTGTGTGGCTGGTTATAATCCAAGACATTCCTCCATGATAACTTATTCATAAAGCCAATATATATCTCCTCGAATAATGTGTATCACTAAGATTAACAATTATTATTAAGAATGAAAACTTCCCAGTAGATCATCACCTACCAACCAGCACACTGGCCCATTAAGAACGAAATGAAAGCTTTCCAAGTGAATTACGGGCAATATGTGCATAACCTGATGCAAAAGCAATAAAAATTATGCCTTGACATCTGTCGAAAGAAATCCCTCTGCTGCAGCTTCAATTCCGTTTTCAACAAGGTTATCACAAGAAGCACAGACTTACCCGTGCGATAGACGAAGTTGCCTTCAGTCTCTGACGATGAGGGAGACACCAACTCCTCCTCGAATTCGTTGGAACTAAAAGATCCCGAGTGGTTCCTTTGCCTCGTCTTTCCCACGATGGCAGCGTCTGTGACCATAACATGTCTCAAAGAGTCGTTAAGGTAACGGTTCAACAAGCTGCTCTTGTATTTTGGGGGGGAGACGTAGTCCTCGTTGGCCCGTGACTCTGGCCTCACTCCAGCTTTTATGACTGAGCTCTCACTTTTGATCACAGGATGGTGGACGGGATTATTATAGCCCCCTTCATTCATGTGGTTTCGTGGAGGATTTTCTCCATCTAAGGGGGAAAAACATTACCAGGTAGTACTTACACATACTTCTCCCCCCACCACCCAATTGTTGCATTTCATCACTAATACACAAACACACACACACACACACACACACACACATATAAGGAAGAATATTTAAAGTGTATAAAATTATCTTTGATATTTAAGATTAACTTTTAGGCAAAGGAGAGCAGGAATCTATGTAATCTCTCCTCTTCGTATTTTAATTTTACTGAACTTCACAGACAATGTTACTCTGACACACGATAAATCTATGAACAAGAGGAAACAGCCGTAATTCGGTCGGTCATTTATAGTATTGTAAAAGTGAAGTTACCTCATGCAATAAAAAGGAACCGTTACAGCACCATCATGTTTTATGGAATCAGCCTTAAAAATAGCAGTTGAAGCGAATGTCTCATTACCGAGGCAGAGCAAAGAAAGCAAAATAAAAATATCAACCAACCTTCGGAACATGAGTCATCACTGCTCACGCTGAGCCGCTCCGCGTTTCCTTGAACATACTTGTTGTACAACTTTATCCTCAAGGCCCAGCTTAAATCTGGCTGTCGAACGGTATTCTTAAGCCGACGTCTGGCATTAGCAAACCAATTTGACACCTGAAGAAGTTTTATTTTTCAATTAACACAACATTAAAAAATGACCCATCCTACAAGTACTTTCCCAGAAAGACCTAAGCCTCTTTCAGTGCCTCTGATCATTAAATATTCTCAGGACATAATGGTACTGAACATTCCGTACTCATGAATAAACAGATAGCTCATTCAATCGTTCATTCATTCAATCAACAAACGTGCTGAGCACTTACTACAGAGACTGAGCACTAACTATACTCTGGGAGTAAAAAAACATATTAAGGGGCTTCACGATCAAGTTTCCAGTCTAGTAAGGGAGGTAGGAGCATGTACAAATGACCCGAATATAGAAAAGAATGTGATAAATGGCTTAAGAGGCATTAAAATAAAATGTGACAGGAGTCCCATAGAAGGAGGGGTTACTTTATATGTTGACTCAAGATGTCATGAGGACTTTAAGCTAGATTTTGAAGGACTACATCAGGGATAATGGGTAGGAAAGTGTGTTCCCAATAAAGAGGACACAGAACACATGTGAGTCAGATTCCAGAGGCACCGCGGTGGGCGAGGAAGAGGGAAGGATTAGAGAGGACCTTGAGTTCCCAAACTCGTGCAACCAAGAGAAGACAGTGCCACTTTGAGAAAGAAAGTAGAGCTGTTTAAGTGTGAAATGATGGGTTTGGTTTGGGAATGTTTAGTTTGAGGTACTAGAAAAGCACACAGATGAGATGTGCAGCAAGAAAATAGAGCTGGCGCCTGAGATTTAAGGGGGAGGAAGGTCAAATCTGGGTCGAACGCACAGAGGTGAGAGGTGAAGCTGTGCGAATAGACAGAACAAAGAGAGCACTCTGGAAACCTCCAGCGATTCAGGGCGTAGGAGATAGCAAAACCGTCAGAGGGAGAGCCATCAGACAAGCCGAGGGAGAGAAAAGCCAAACAGCACCCAGCCTGAAGCTCAAGTCAAGGGCTTCCGAATAGGTGATGGCAAAGACATGAACACTGCGAAACAAAGGAGTCGCTCCACTGCTTTTGCCTCTTTCTAAGGTGCTATTGGATTTCTAGGGGCTCAAATGGTACTAGACATTCCTTTTTAAATGTCAGGCTACCGTCAGAATATATATATTAAAACCCAAAAGGCCAATATTTGCCTTTAAAATGATGAAATGTGGAAAGGGGATTACATCTTTCGCTCAATTTGTTCCAGAACATGACCCCGCAGTACTATGATGGTTTGTGTGGTCATGCTTGTGCCAGAATTTCTTTTCTTTTTATATTTATACTATAGATACACAATGTTTGCATATTACCCAAGCCTTAATTATTGAATGAAACTGTGGTGGGTGATACTACTTTAAAAAAAAAAACTATGATTTTTTTTCTTTTTGTCCCCGTGGGTAAAACACAATCGTCTTTTCCAGTTTGTACACACACAAACTATATCACATATAACAGATATATTCACTATTACCTCTCTTTGTGTCTTAAGCAATGATAATTGTCCTTTCACATTTATGTGCAATGGTGTCATGTCTCACCACGGCATCCCAGAAACCTCAGTTTTTATCTCCCCCCCTTCCTGCAAAGCTGTGCTATTAACGCTATGGTTTAGTCTGACTTCAAATTCTCAGTCTCTTCAAACCTCTACAAACAGACAACTTCTGGGACTATTCACCAAATACACACTGAGTAGCTCTTGTGCTTCAGCCATGGTGGTAAGTGCCAGGAATGAGTGAACTTGGTCCCCCACACACACAGGAGGACCAGCAGTGAAAGCCATACTAAGTGATTAACTGTGATACACGGGGGGAACCACACTATGGAAGGATGAAAAACCTGGTCCATTTCTTCTCAAACCTCCCCCAATTCCCTGAGTCACTGCCAAAATGTCCATCCACATGCTCATTACTACTAACTGGGCATTTTAGAGCATTAGTTTTTTGAACTTCCCCATCTTCCATTCTGTCCACTTAAATGGATCTTTAACAACCACCATCAAATTCAATTGTGACGATTTCATCACATAACGTCTTCAATCCTCGTCCACATCCCTTTCTCCTCGAACTGTGGTATCATGAGAAGAGATGTGGTCTCCTGTTCTGAATTTGCCAAATACATGCTGTGTGAGTTTAGATAGATAAGTCACTCAACTTTTCAGAACTTCAAACTTTTAATCTGTAAAATGCATTAGCTGGTTCTTAACATCCTTGCTGACTCTGAAAACTAAGAACTGGGGCTATCGCCTGTGCTTTCCTACAAGCGTTAATTCATCTTCTTTGTGGCTGGCGCCAGCCAACCTCTGCTCTTGACCACTGCTCTCTCTCCAGCAATCAGGCTGGGGTGTCTAAGTCCTTCTCTGCTCTCCTCACTCACGGCAGACAGCCTGCAACTTCCCCTATGCCTATGTCACTTACATTTATTAGAATCCAACTCCGAAACCTTTTTGTTACTTTATTTACTAAACATCATAAACTTCAGAGACTAATCTTAAATCTTAACTGACCTTAACTCTTAATATAATCAACACATAGTATCCCATGGTGTAAAATTTGATTCTTATGGGACTCTTCCTATTTTATTAAAATGCAATGGACCTCCAATTTCAAAAAACATGAATATACTATAATACTAACACACAAAAACAGGGACCCTTAAATGTCATGATGAGATTAACTAGCATTTCATATATGGAATCACACCCTTCTTTATGTTTTATATACTCACAGTTATTACCAGAGTATGTTAATTATATATTAGAAGATTTTCCAGAAAGGTTTGCTGGTATCTAACATAAGCTATTTCTAAACTGATTTCATAAGTTTGACTGGCACCCAATTTACTAATATATCTACTCTGCCAGTATTTTATTACCAGAAATTTACAGTACAACTTAAGGGCTGACAGTCTGGGGTGTTTAATATCTTCTTGTGTTAAGTTGTGCAAACAGCAGACATTAGTTGGTGAACAAGTTTGAATATACATTATTTGGGATTTTTTTTTCCTGATGAATTAATGCAAACTCCATCTGTTTCAGTGAAGGTAAAAATGCCAGTTCAAATTTTCTACCTTTAACTTACTATGGATTCCTTCAAGGTTACCATTCATATTCTCTTGAAACGGTATTTCACACGAAACAGGCCTCCTTACCAAGGAGAGGTTCTGGAACAGCATTTTAATATCTAAGTCAGAGCTTTAAAAACACTGTATTTTATAGTGAAAGCTTAGAGAACAAATATCTAGAAGCTGGAAGAGAAAACTAAGTACTTTTCATCCTACTCTGACAGAAGTGTTTACTTCATCATAGTGACAGAGCAATCATTAGAGGGAGCCCAGCAGGATATGCTGCCAGCTGTCTGCCTTTGAACACACAGAATTAACAGCTTATTCTGGGTTATTCAAATGAAATGTTGAACACCTCGTTTCTAAGCCATGTAGTGTTAACACTTGGAATAATGCAGAAGGACCAATCTGAGACTTTTGTTTAATAGTTAACAATAGCCATAATCCTTATAGTTGGTAACTGTACACCTGTCTCAGCAGAAGAGCTCAACACCAAACAAGAAAGAGCTGCGTCATACGGGGGCAAAAATCACGCAACACAGCAGATTTAACCAAATGCTCCACGGATGGATCTAAGGAATTTGAAACTTCTACTATAAGAGGAAGAAGCATTAACATCCAATCACTAAAATGTAACCTCAGACTCCACTTGTTCTGCACTCTGCATTGTGATCATGAAAAAAATCACCCCAAGTAGACATTTCACTTTTATCATCCAGAAAAAATATAAATATATTTTAAATAAATACACATAAACAACGGGAAATATTGAAACCAGAGACAGCCCCCATCTGCCCTTCTTTCAAAAATTTCTTCAGAGGCAGCTATTCCCTAGGTAAACTCCATATCCCACAATAATTCAAAACCCCAATCACATATCACTTTATATTAGTCCACAATAAAGCTCTTTGTATTTTGAGAGTAGAGATTATATTTTTATAAAGTTTGAACACTGGTCGGTCAGAGGAACCGAGCACAATGGAATATTTTGGTTGGTTAAAGTCAAAACACACACAGACACAAATGCAAATCATCTTCCTGTTAAATTGTATAAAAATCCTTACTATCTTATCAGGAAGATGTCCGCTAATAATGCAAACAGTTATAGCCAATTCAGACAAGTTGCCAAGTCTAGTGAGTAGGAAAAAAGAAAGTTGCATATTTCTTTCTGATTCATCTTTCAGGGATGAATAAAATGTAGGTGCTGATTGATGTCCTTAGAGCTTCTATTTATCAGAAAAAGTAACTTGTGGTCCTAAAAAAATATTCCCTCCACTAAAGTTTCAAGATTTTGTTTCTAGGCTTAATAGAGAATGCAGACCAGGTTTTACACCCTTCCTTATCAATTAAAGAGTAGCAAAATAAGGCAAAAGTGCTTCTTAGGAAAAGTTCGACAGTTTGACACACAACCAAAAGGAAAATGTTAAGTGCAAAAGACATTCTTAAAACGTAAGACACTCTTGTAGTTAAGGAATAAAACAATTATACTGACAGTTTATTAATATAAATCATGAGAAGCAGAGATGGGAGACATTATAATAAACAAGAAACGGAGTTTGGAGCCAGAAATAAGGGGAACACCTCATATCTGTCTATAGACATAAAAAATGACATATTTCCAGATAAACTGAAAATAATAAAGTGACTTATGCTTGTGCCTATTCTGTGGAAGTAGCAAACAGCATTCCCTACAATGGGATGGATTTTAAAACTAGAATATCTTAATCCGATTTCAAGACAGTCTCTAGTTTTCAAAAAGATGTTTCAGGAAGTCACATGGTATTCCCCAACTAGAACCTATTCAGTCTACAAACATGCACGAAGTTTACTATGTGGAAAGTACTGGGCTGGGGGAAACCGCACGATGAAAATGAATTAAGACAGGATCACTCTTCTCAATAAGCCTGACTCTACAGGAGAAATACATTCAGTGGGAGAACCTGACTCATGAAATAGGGGTCTATTTACAGGACACAAAAGCTTTATTCGGATCACAGCTTGGTATTTTTCCCCCAAAAGTGAAAATGTATTTACATGATTTATTTGGTTCTCATCAAGTCAGAATTTGCTTTGGATGTTTAATATACAAACTCCTTACATTCATAAATATATATTTTCTTGCTTAGACATTCCACTATGCCTAATTGAGAATAACTGGATCCAAACTGAATGATATATACAGTTGGTTAGTCTATACATTTTGATTTTTTCCCATTTATCACTTTAAAGTTCCAGAAACCAACTCCATTTACTATAAATTGTGGAAATCATTAAACAGGTATCACTTATAATTACAAATAATTACCTTTTCCCCTTCTAAAAATTACATATGTGTGTGCATGTTTATTTCCTGAAGACTAGCGTAAGAGAAAATATAATGGGAAAAGTTTTCATTACACGAATAAAAACTTCATGTAAATTAGAAAAATGCAATAGTCTTACCAAGATCTTAGTGCAAAAAGAATTATTTGTATTTGAACTATCATTACAGGTAGAACTAATTTTATTCTGTATTACAAACGATAATTACCTGTATTGCAGCTTAAAGAAACTACTGCACATGAAAATTTAAATGTCTCTGCTAATGACAAATAATGCATTTCACAATTAAAAATGCCCTAAATACGTCATAAACATTTTTGGCTTTCTATATGAAAGAATGGCAAGGATGTGGAAGGATACAATCAATAATCAAATGTTTTACTGCTGACGCTATATTCAATAATATATTCAAATAGCTCTATAAATTAATGTATTTTTCAAAATAAATAGCATACCAGCTTGAAATCTGAACATATGCATTTATTTGCATAAGTCGAAGTTTCTTTCACTGGAATAATTTATTTAAAAACTAGTTTTGAAAATTACTGAAAGTTCATTGTTTTATGTAAAACAGATATTAAACCAAGAACACTAATTTTCCCCTCCAGTGCTTCAGCGAATCACTATTAATACTATTGCCTGTTAATATAAAGCAAAACAGATGTTTTTCTCTACAACTGTACTGAAAATAAGCAGATAAATGAATGTTATAGCTTTAATAAGCCTGAATACAAGTCAATTTTCATGCTTTGTCAAACTTTCCAGTAATTCCTAAAATGACAACCTTAAATACTCTGGAAAGCAATTTTTATGTTATCAAATTGTGAAACATTCCCTTTTATTTTGGGGTTCCCACTTACGATAATTTTAATGGAATGACCAAAATTTCACAAATGCAGTGATGCAGTACTACGGTAACATCCCAGGCTTCTCAGCCCATTCAGCTCCTTCTCCTATTTCTGAATAAATCTGAACTGTTTGCACACATAAAAGCTCATGTCGCTATATTCATGAAAGAAAACTGGTGTGACAGAAAGAGCATTTGATCTGCAATGACATATCCAGGCCGACCTCTACCCCTACTAACACAACTTCCTCCTGCCTTGGTTACATCACCGGCAAAATGCTGAATGACAGCCTATCTCAAACCAGTTTTGTGAATATCAAGTAAGAATGTGAAGGGAAAAAACTTGTCCAATGTAAAGTAGTGTTGTTCACTAGAGAGGCAACAAACTTACTCTATTCCTCTGCATTTGACAAAGTCACCCAACCATTTGAAACCTGCCTCTTCTTAACCCCAGTAGAAATATACCAACAGCAAAATTTTGTGGCATCTAGTAATGCTCAGGTCCCTCTTATTTGAAAAGGAAAAAACAAACACAAACCAAAAAAATAAATCCAAACCCCCTTCTAGGCCTCCCTGAGTCTGCCAGGAATGGTAATTTGAAAGTTAGCCTGTACTTGACCTTTAACATGGGGCCCTAATGTGGGGTGCCTTTCTGCCTGCTTGTCAAAAGTGTGGTCCGGGCCAGCAGCTTCAGCATGGCCTCAAGAACTCCAGAAATTCAAATTATCAGCACCACCCAAGACCGACTACTGAATCACAGATTCCTGGTGGGGCCCAGCAAATTGGGTTTTACCAAGTCCTCCAGGCGATTCTGGTGCACAATCAAGTGTGAAAATCACTGCAGAAGTAGTCCCACGTGCAGCCATCGGTATATGGTCCATGAGTCCAGATTCCTAGAAACTCTCATGATTCTGCACTTGACTTTTCACTGCCCTCCTTAACAAAACACCATAGAAACCCTCCTGGACCAAGCTTAGATGACATGGAGGAAACCCAGAATCTCTTCCCACAACACAACTCTGGCCCGGGCCAGCCCCTTATCAACCTCAGGGGCACAAGCCGTAGCATCCGGACCGGCCTCTCTCCCCCATCCCTCCCCAGCTGCTGGCAGCTGGAGATCCGCACACTTCGTGAGCCCGCTCCTCGGTCTCCCCACCGGACGGGCAGGGGGCTTGCTGCGCCGGGATTACCTGCACTAGCGTCATCTGCGAGCCAAGCGCCAAGAGTATCTTCTCCGTCTTGGTGGGGTACGGGTTGTCACGATGCTTGTAAAGCCACTGCTTCAGTGGCCGAGCCATGTCTTGCAGGGCCTGCCGCTTGTGCCTCACCTTCCCGCCGTTCTGCCGGGCCCTGGGACACCGGGAGAGGATGGGG